GAATAAAGTTTGAAATAAAATAAAAATAAATAAAAAGGACCTGTTTAGAAGATCTAGGATTAGAATAAATGCAGAGAAGTTAAGATATGTATTCTGTGACTAGCTCGTGCAAAAAATGTATAAACCAGCAAASAAATTTTCAAATCAAATTTTTATTTAACAGGAAGCCAGTGTAGAAACACTAACTTCAGAGTAAGACTAGCTCTTTTCCTGGTACCAGGTCAGAGTTCTGATTCAGCTTCAGATGGGACAGCGTGGACAGACTGATGGCAAAATAAAGAGTTAAAAAAAATCAAATCTGGTGATTAAAGCAGTGATAACTATCTTTGTGTTGYCCTTTCAGGCATGGTGGGCAAACTGAGGAAGACATCAAAGGTTTACGGACGTGCAGTCCATCCTGCAGGATCAATGAGAGGTGTAACTGTTTCATGAAAGTCGACACGTCTCGGTCAATCTATCTGGTTGCAGAGACAGACACTGCAGAGGAAATCATTGCTCCTATTTACAGTGGGTGATACTTCTAAAAGTTCTTGGTGTCGTATCAACTTGTGGGAATAATKAAATTAGAAATGTCCTGATCAAGATTATTTTTCCCCCCAATATGGATCAGAATAATTAAAACGTTTTGGTTGGTTATATGAGAAATAATACTCCAAGCTCCTGTTTTAATAAAAATAAGCGTTTTCTAAGGGAGAGCCCAGAGATCCCTGTGGAAGAAACAGATTTCAGCCGCCTGTGTCTCCGATCTTGTTCTTTTGGGCACTACCCAAAGCTTGTGACCAAAGATGGGGGTAGAAACATAGATCGACTGGGAAATTGAGAGCTTCACCTTTTGGTTCAGTTCTAGATTCACCTCAACAGATACAGAGGTACAGTTCCCACATCACTGCAGAAGCAGCATCAATCTGCCATCGATCTCCAACCCTGAGATACTTAATCTCCTCCACTTGGGGCAGGACCTCTTTCCCAACCCGGAGTCGGCACCCTACCCTTTTCTGGCTCCAGACCATGGTCTTGGATTTGGAGGCACTGATCCTCATCCCGGCTGCTTCACACTCGGCTGTGAATCACTCCAGTGAGAGCTGGAGATCAGGATCTGATGAAGCCAATAGGACCACATCATCCGCAAAAATCAGGGATGTGATCCTAAGATCACCAAAACGGATCCCCTCAACATCTTGGCTGCACCTAGAAATTCTGTCCATAAAAGTTATTAACAGAATCTGTGACAAAGGGCAACCTTGGCCTGGTACCCCATAATCCCTGAGTACCCCCCCACAGGAGTCCCCGAGGAACACGGTCGAACACCTTCTCCAAGTCCACAAAACACACGTAGACTGGTTGAGCGGACTCCCTTGCACCCTCCAGGACCCTGCTGAGGGTAYAGAGTTGGTCCAGGGGGTAGGGGTTCATTCTGTAACCACCTGGTTGCCTGTTTGAACCCCTGTTCTGTCCGYCTCAGTTGTTGTGTCCTTGGGCAAGACACCTTCTCTGCCTTGTCTGCTGGTAGCGGTCAGAGAGTCCCATCCCACCCCCAGCCTCACCCCTGTCGGTGTGCCCCAGGGCAGCTGTGGCTTAAATGTTGCTTACCATCAGTGTRTGGATAGGTGAAGGGCTGAATGATTGTAGTAAAGTGCTTCAGAGTCCTTGGACTTGATAAAGGGCTCTATAAAATCACACCATTTACCTGAAAATAAAGTAAAGCCGAGCACAGCTGCAGACAAAAAAAAGTTGGTTCACAACATGTCATGGGTGTAGTGAGGAAATGTAAGACAAACTATTTTTGTCAGTATATTAATTCAAAACACAAGTAAAACTTGCTGATTTAGTTCTACCAACCAGTGAGTTAAGCTTCCTCTGCTGCCAGTCGGAGCTGCTGCGGTTCCATATTTGATTTGACCCTGGGGAAAAAGAGAATATCCCATTCTGTGTCCGGAGWTGCTTTGAAGTCACACATTTTAATCAAGAAAAAGCGCTTTGCAGCTAAACACTACAAGATGCTATTCCTTATTTTAATATGTTGTAAAGTAAAACATCTTGTTGCTGTTGTTTCATGGTCTCTTCAGTGACACCTCTGACAGAAATGAGCATTCGGGAAGATGGAGACTATCTCAAGTTGACATGGACGCTTCCTGATGTTGGACAGGAATGTGACTGGCAATACCACCTCCACTACAAAGCATGTGCTGTAAATAAAGTAAGCTGTCAAATGAACGTTTTTTTAAAAAAAAATTCCTTGTATGCTTGGTATTACTCTTGCAATCAAACAAAACAAATCATAAATGTAAGGCATGTTAATTTTCACAGGTTTTCTGTCGTACATTGTAATCCTGTAATTGAAGCAGACCTAATTTGGGTTGAATGGTGAAGCCCAAAACTAACCTGCATGTTTGTTGTGTTTTTTTAGTATCTGACATCTGTTGATCATAAAAGCAGCAGGGGGGTGGTCATTCCTTATGATAAATGCTGTAAGTACGAGTTCCAGTATAATATGACGACCCATCACCACTGCTCAAGTGTGACCAGCAAGAACAGTCCTCTAATATCTTACGGTAAATGTCCAGTTTTATTTTCAGTGTTCTGTCTGTCATATAAAATCAACATAATTTACTAGTTTTTTAATTAAAATATTTTAATAGAGTGTGATAAATACATCTCTCTTTGATGTTCCTTTGATTTTCACAGTTTAATGTTGACAAATACTTTGCACACTTTTATTGTCTCACTCAGGAAGATGATGTCAGTTGTACATGTTGATGTTTTAAGAGGCAAAGTGTTAGAATTAAAACAAAAAACACTGTTGATGCATTAATGAATCATTTTAATAAAAATCAAAACCCAAAGGTCATTGGCTTTGGAAGATCTGAAGGCAGATGGCCGCCACAACTAGTCAACCATAGCCAAGACATAAATGTCTATAACACAACCAGTTCATTTGATGTGAGAGTWGCTGAATCATTCATTAAACATACTCTGTAAGCTCAAACATCATGCAATATCCCGTGAAATTAACGTTAATTTCAAGGTTTTACTTAATCTGACTGCTCTGCTTCTACTAACATCTCACTGGATAGAACTGAAGGGTTCAAAGGTCAGCTGGTGTTGGGCTTAGCTTTGCACCCATGTTTCTAAACCGCCCAATTAGGCGGCACGACAAAATTTTCACCGTCTCCATTTTTTTGTTTATTCTACCTTAAGACAATCTCAGAAATCAAATTTCTTAATTTATTTTTTTGGTGTTCCAGCTTTTACCTGCTGTTGGTTGAATGATGAGATAATCTGTGCTGAAYTTAACAGTAAGGGCCCCTTCATTTCACCACTTGGTTGAAAATACAGCTGGTATGACCACTGCTGCATAAATGTAAACAAAACACAGAGTTATCATTTCAGGATGATGCTGGTTTAGTTTTTAATTGTAAGTTTTTAATCAGATTGCACTCGGGTCTGTTTGCTTTAAGACAATGTTGTGGCCATTTATGTTGAAATTTTGTAAATTATAAATTTGATAAGACTTCCGCACGGCTTCGAGGCGATTCTGGTCCACCATCCGGCCTCTCAGGAGGGGGAAGCAGTGCAGCACCAACAC